TTTATATCATATGATATTTGATATAACTCGAGCAGGGAGAGCAGTATTACACGAGTGCTGATTTAGTTTAGTAAATAAGAAGTTGATGTTGTGTTATATTTTAAACACAATATTATGTGTTTTTGCTCAATTTTGCAGAGAACATATTACCTTTAAAGCCAAAGCAGAATTGTTGCATGTCTCCGAGCAACACAGCGGTGTCTAGTTTCTGAATGAATCCACGTTTTGAACGAATCGAGTGAACCAATGATTCAAAGGCCCATTCATAGAGAGAGCCGTTTACTGTCATTACATTTGAACGAATAGAATGAATGAATGACTCAGACATTTACCGCCACCTGTTGGCAGATTTAGTTTCTTATTTAGAGTATCATTTCATTAAAAAATATAAAATAATAAAAATAAAAACATTAAAGGGATAGTTCACTCAAAATATATGACAGTATATATACATATATGTCGCACTGTACAGCCCTGCCTATATGTATAACAGTTAGGTCTAACTCTCGAATCTGACGGGACAAGAGACTTTCTGCTCATATTTCACCTGCGTGTTCTAGACGGGCTGTCAGTCAGTGCAGTTACATTGTTGCGCCACAAGGTGGTGGCAAGGGATTGTCTTTACTCAATATACCATGGTGTCAGACTGTTTTCCATAATCTTCCTTACGCGTAAAGGAGCAACCGTATCTAAAATGCTAGAAAAGAGAAGCGTCCATAGTTTCTGTTAGATCATCAAGTTGTTCTGAGCTATTGGATATGCTAAGCAATTGAGATAAATCAGGAAGATTACCTACAAAGCAGTCTTTTGTGGTAGAAGTGATGGTTCTACCATACCTGTAACAAGGAGTCGAATTTACAGTTTTAGCTATATGACGTTTGCATCAATTCCCTGATGTAAGCCCTTCCTGACATCAATTCCATGTGACAGTATTAAATCTAGTTACAAAACTTTGGGGTCCAGAAGAAAACTTCAAGCTCAGCATCCTCATCTTCTCTGAATCTAAAAGAACTTTAGACTGAGCTGTGTCGAGGCCTGCCAGGCACGGCAGCGCTGGCTCTGGGACTTAGCAACCAGAAGACGGGAAGATGATGAGAGACGAGTGAAGAGACTGAAAAGCCCGATGGGTCACTAAAGTGAGGCCTTTCAAATTCCGTGGAGGTCACACCTCTCCATGGGTCAAAGAGCCAATGGTGACTTGCACTTCTGGAGGGGAAGTTTACGACTCTTTGTCTCCGAACATGGTAATTTGCATATGCAACTGGATTGGATGTTGATGCAAAAACTACTAAAGATTCTTAGAACATTAATATGTTGCATAAGTATCAACATATAATATAAACTCTCAATTAGATCATCCAAAGACGAATTCATAGAGACCAAACATGGTATAGGTAAGGTTACATGAACAAGTGGTTCTATCATAAGCATGCATAAAAAAGTATGCAATACAAAAGACAATATACAAGAACAGTAATAATATAATATAGTAATAATATATACACAATGACCTGGGGATATGTGATAGGGAGGTCAAAGAAAGATTTGTCTGTGAATGAGAGTCCATTTATATGGCATTGTGTGTCTTTCCTATGGGTAAATGAATTGAGAGTTGCTCTGCCCGCATTCCTTTGGGCAATAAAACCAGTGTTATCAATTCAATTAAAGTTTATTTGTATAGTGCTTTTTATGACGTAAATTGTTGCAAAGCAGCTTTACAGAAAATTAAAGTTTATACATTATATTTAGTAATAGCTTATCAGTGGTGACTATCTCAAGTTGATGTCCATATGGCAGAAATGTACGGTAAAAATCAAGCAGTTAGTTAATGTCACGTAATCAAACAGACGGTGAACACTATTAACAGCAATAATTATATGCTGCGATCAAACTTATAGCAAAATTTGGTAGTTTTGTATGTTGTCTGAGGGGTTGGTATCATCTCTTCTCAGGTGTTCGGGGTTGGCATCATCTCTTCTCAGGTGTTCGGTCATCTCAGGTCTTTGTAAGAGCTGGATCCAGACTGAAGTTTGTGTAATTCCTAGTTACCACGGGATGTCAATCACGAGGCAGAAACAGAGAAGGAAATAGAGACAAATTTGCATAGCTTCTGTTCCAACTAAGCAAAAAATTATGTGTTTAACCCAAGCAAAAAATGTTAATGTGCATTTGATCCGATGTAACTGAAGTACAAGGTTATGAGATACATCATGTGAATGCTTGGCTAAAGAGATGTGTCTTTAATCTACATTTAAGCAGAGAAAGTATGTCTGATCCCCGAACGTTATCAGGAAGGCTATTCCAGAGTTTGGGAGCCAAATGCGAAAAAGCTCTACCTCCTTTAGTGGACTTTGCTATCCTAGGTACTACCAAAAATCCAGAGTTTTGCAACCTTGGGGAGCGTGATGGATTGTAGCATGGTAGAAGACTAGTTAGGTACACAGGATCTTAACCATTTGTGGCCTTAAAAGTAAGTAGTAATATCTTGTAACTGATGCGGAACTTAATAGGTAGCTAGTGCAGAGAATTTAAAATTGGGGTAATATTATCATATTTTCTTGACCTGGTAAGGACTCTAGCCGCTGCATTTTGATATCTCTGTCTTATCCAAATTTAATAGGAGAAAATGATTGGTCAGCCAATCTTTTACATTTTTAACACATTCTGTTAGCTTAGATAGTTTAGAAGTTTCATCTGGTCTTGTAGAAATATATAGTTGATTATCATCAGTATAACAATGGAAACTAATCCATTGTTATTTCTAATAATATGTTTCCTAATGTTTCTAATATTATTAGTATTTTCTAATAATATTACCAAGGGGCAACATGTATATTGAAAATAGCAGAGGGGGATGATGGTGGAGCGTTTGAAGCAGGCAGGGACTTCGCACAGCTCCAGTGATCTGTTGAAGATATGTGTGAAGTTGGGGGCCAGCTGGTCAGCACAGAATTTCAGACAAGCTTGTGTAAAACAATCTGGGCCTGGTGCTTTTTTCCTTTTCTGCTTCCGGAAGACCTGACGCACATCATCTTCACTGATCTAAAGTGCAGGAGTGGTGGAGAGGGGGGTTTCAGCATGTGTTAATGGTTGTGTAGAGAGGTGTTCAGAGCAGGTGTAGGGTGTTTTTTCAAACTTGCAGTAAAACTCATTCAGATCGTCTGCCAGTTGTTGATTTTCCGCAGTGCTGGTAGATGGTTTCTTGTAGTTGGTGATGTCTTTCAGACCTTTCCACACTGATGCAGGGTCACTGGAAGAGAATTGGTTCCTTAGCTTTTCAGAATAATTCCTCTTTGCCATTCTGATCTCCTTTGCCAGTGTGTATTTGGCCTGTTTATACAAGACTCCCCCCCCATTCAAGCATTTTCTTTGGCCTGTGTAAGCATTTTCTTTGGCCTGTCGGAGCTGTCTGAGTTTTGCAGTGAACCATGGTTTGTCATTGTTGTATGTTAAATAGGTCCTGGTAGGAATGCACATGTCTTCACAAAAACTGATATAGGATGTTACAGTCTTTGTGAGCTTGTCCAGATCTTTGGCGGCAGCTTCAAAAACACTCCCAATCAGTGCAATCGAAGCAGGCTTGTAAATCCCGCTCTGCCTCATGAGTCCATCTTTTTACAGTCCTTAATACAGGCTTAGCTGCTTTCAGTTTCTGCCTGTAGGTCAGTATAAGATGAACCAAACATTTAGAAACCATTCAGACAGACTGGTGTATGCAGGGTCACTGGAAGAGAATTGGTTCCTTAGCTTTTCAGAATCATTTCTCTTTGCCACTCTGATCTCCTTTGCCAGTGTGTATTTGGCCTGTTTATACAAGACTCCCCATTCCTGTAAGCATTTTCTTTGGCCTGTCGGAGCTGTCTGAGTTTTGCAGTGAACCATAGTTTGTCATTGTTGTATGTTAAATAGGTCCTGGTAGGAATGCACATGTCTTCACAGAAACTGATTTAGGCCTGTAGGTCAGTATAAGATGAACCAAACATCTAGAAACCATTCAGACAGGCTGGTGTATGCAGGGTCACTGGAAGAGAATTGGTTCCTTAGCTTTTCAGAATAATTCAGAGAGACCTAAAGCTGCTCATGCGACAGAGTGATATGTATGCGTTATTGTGGTGTAACAGTGATAGGGTGACCATACGGGCCATTTTTATGGGACGCGTCCTTGCCAGGATTTCAATATTGCCTAAAATATCCAGGTTTTGGCTGTTTGCATTGTGCAGATCGATCATTGTATGACATTCACAAGAGCTATAGAGAGCAGAGCAGATGCTCCTTATGCTTTCGAATCGCTCTCGCAGTACTTTGGTGTCATTCAATGATCGGTGCGCAGCGATGCTGTCACGGAATGCCAGGAGAGACAAGATAAGATCCAGTTGCAGTTTATTGAAAGTAACAAAATAATCAAAACAGAACAAAAACGTGGCAAAAGGTAATCCAAAACGCAAGGAACAGATAACACGGTAAACTATAGACAACTCAGACATAAGATCAGACACGAGATGACAAATACAAAATAGCAGCAATGACAGACAGAGTGAGCAAGGTATATATAGCTGGGATAATGAGTAAATGACTAAATGACTAACAGGTGATAAAGATCGGAAATAATAAACAGGTGTTAATGATCAGACAGAATGACAGACAAGGGACTATGGGAAATGGAGTTGCGGGCTCTGGACTGGGCTCTGTGAGCTCCCGGACTGGAGCGGGCTCTGGACTCCGGACTGGAGCGGGCTCTGGACTGGGCAAAGTTTTACAAATGCTAGAAACGTGGCTTTCTAAGGAAAGATTGCTATCAAATAGCACACCCTGATGATATCTCCCAAGGGTAACATGTAAAGCATGTAAAAAAGGATATATACATGCATATATAGAAGACAAGAGGATTTTGATGATCTCCCTTCAGTAATCAGTGAGCTCAATCTATAGAGTGACTAAAATAACAGCATTCTATCGGGTATGTGCAGTTGATTGAATGTTTGACTTCTTCTGTGTTGCAGGTTCAGGCACGATGAGCAGCATTATTCCCAAGAGCAAAGCAAAAGGCACTGACATCTGTGCATTTAACAACTACTATTGCATAATCCGCTCTGACCTCGGCTGCTATATGCAGACAAGTGATTTAAATAAAGGTTCAGATATCTCTATTTTCAGTCTGCACCCTGCCTGCCAAAATGGAGACCATTACCTTGGTGATAGCAAAGGCTCCTTTCACATCATCAAGGGCAATTCCTGCCGCAGAGTTACCGATCTGTCAACAGACAGCAATGCTGTAGTTTACAAACTTCATCCCAACTGTCAGGGTGGAGACCACTACTTCGCAGCCCATAGATATTTTTACATCATCTTCCAAGAAAAGGGTACTTTACGAGTAACAACTGACATGAATCTTGACTCGGATGCTGAAGTACACACCCTGCATCCAGACTTCAGAGACGGTCTGTATTACTGGGAGCTGCATCACATAAAACTATTCGGCATGTGCTTCTCCTTCCTCAAGCCCGCCTCAGAGTGGGGTGTTGAGTTCTGCCAAGCTCCTTATCTCGGCAAAGACAGGCACACTGCTGTCTATTCTGTTCATCCTGATGTTCTTAACTTCCTTCCTGGTGGGCTGTCTGTAACTAAAGGCCCAGCCATAGGCATGTGGGAGAATATTAAAACGATAAAAAATGACAGCAATACACCGGTGACATGGCAAAAGAGGATCACTAAAAAGGTTGGATACAATAAGGCGAAGATGACCCAGATCACTCACAACTGGAAGATAGCTGCATCAGCCTCAGTTGAATCTGGAGAGCTTGCAAAGTTAATTGCGAAGTTACAGTTCTCCTTTTCTGCAGAATATGGAGGTTCACATGTCAGCACTGAAAACGAAAGCTGGAATGAAGCAACTGAAGAGGAAGAGCAACTCACATTAAACCTGAAGCCACATGAGTCTGTAAATCTGTGGCAGTACAAACTGGGTCTTGGTCAAGAATCAGTGTTGTTCTGCCGTGATTTAAAGATTACCAGTGAGCCAAACCCTCCAACTGAAGTCCCGCTGCCACCCGCGCAACCATGAATATCAGTATTTCAGGATCGCAGGATCGCTGAACTCCAAGGATAACCAAGTGCTTTTCAGTTCAATACATTAACTATACATTCTCAAGTAATTATATATATATGCATGTACTGGTTAAAATGAGTCTGGAATAATTTAATATAGCAAAGAGATTTTTCATTTACAGATGATGTAACTACAATTACTGAAACTTTGTGTTTATGATTAAAAGAATCTGACAATGCTACTTTAAATCTTATGAAAATTAAATAACGCCGCATACCACTCTTGAAGTCTTATGTTTTCACTGTTATTGTTTTTTCAAAGTCAACGCCTTTTTTTTAAAATTTAGTTTCCGCCAAAATCAGTATTGTATCTGGTCGGTATTGAAAAGTCCATTTTTAATTTTACGCAAAATGCGATATCCACCGAGTTATTCTGTAATTTTTTCTCCCTTTGTTTCCAAACCGCGACAAATGCCTGTCTCCTTTTTCTGCAGAATGCGATATATCCGCTCAACCAATCACAGCACACCATTCCACACACTCTAGACAGTAATGGCGGCGCTTTGAATACACCCGGCATCCTAGTTTTCCTCATCTACTTTGTGATCAACAAACAAACTTAGGGCTGCGATAAATCGCATGTGATTGTCATGTGCATCTCGTCGGTAAAGCCAGTTCTATGATTATAAGTAAATCTCCATCACGTGCTTTCAGATGGATACACAGAGCCGTAGATCACTGACAAGCTATGCAATATCACGTTCATAATCGCAGATGAGTCGCATTTGATTATGAACGCGATATTGCGTAGCTTGTCAGTAAGTGTTTTTATCAATGCCATTTATGTTTTTGTTAATGCCATTTATGTTTTTGTTAATACAGCATATAGCACTTGTGAAATGAATGTAACATGGCAAAGATGAATGCACTTTTGGAAGCTGAATGTAAGGGAAATGTAATTTTGGAATTTCTGTGGTCTAATGTGATATTGCTGTTCATGTTCTTGTTCATGATGTAATTTTCTTTTATTGCTGTAATTAATTTATAGCATTAACAAGATGACCCGTTGAATTCATTTTGGGAGCGATGACTGATCGAATGTATTTTTAGTCCAGTGCCTGTATATTAGTATTGACCAAGTTCAAAGGCTGTCATATATGGATTAACCATGTTGTGTATTTTCAACAGTTTCAATATGAAAAATAACATTTATATTGATTCAATGGATTTATTGCATTTTGAAAAAAATTAAAAAAAATTTTTTTTTAAAGTGCCATGGATTTATTGCATTTTGGGGAAAAAATTATAAAATTTTATAATAAATCTTTGAAAATCTAAATCTGGATTTGAATTTTTAATATTATTATAACCTAAAGATGCTATGTGAAAGTTTGAAACAGAAAATAATGGTTTTCATCTTGCCACTTTCTTGGTAAAGAAAACAAATTTTTACTCAAATTAATCAAAATGGATTTATAGCATTTTGGAACCAAACTCTTCAGTTATACTGCACAATTTCAAGTTTAGTATAATCTAGGTTAATGAACGAGATAGAGTTGAAAGACAGAAAAAGGAGATAAAGAGAACATTCAAGTAGACATGATTACTTTAAAACAATAACTTATGTCTGATCTAGAGTAAAAAAAAAAAAAACATGTTTAACAATTCATATCTCATATACAGACATAAGTCAGTATATGAGTACTTTTCTTAATTAATGCAGCAGGAATCCTTATCTATTTAAACAGGAAGCAGTATTGTTTCTTTCTTGTATACAGAACATTCACCAGGGGCAAGTTCAAGCTCAAACCGGTGTGCGCCGTTTTGCTACGGTTTCTTTTAATATTATTATAACCTAAAGATGCTATGTGAAAGTTTGAAACAGAAAATAATGGTTTTCATCTTGCCACTTTCTTGGTAAAGAAAACACATTTTTACTCAAATTAATCAAAATGGATTTATAGCGTTTTGGAACCAAACTCTTCATATATTTTTGAGATGGAAAAATACAGTTTTACAAAAGCTAGAAACGTGGCTTTCAAAGGAAAGATTGCTATCAAATGGCACACCTAGGTTCCTAACTGATGACGAAGAATTGACAGAGCAGCCATCAAGTCTTAGACAGTGTTCTAGGTTATTAAATGCAGAGTTTTTAGGTCCTATAATTAACACCTCTGTTTTTTCAGAATTCCGTAAATTTTTCAAATTGGTATGTTTCGCCGGGCCGCGAAGAAATATAGAGCTGAGTATCATCAGCATAACAGTGAAAGCTAACACGGTGTTTTCTGATGGTATCTCCCATACTTCCTGGTTCTAGTAAGAACACTAGCTGCTGCATTTTGGACTAGCTGGAGTTTGTTTATTAAGTGTGCAGAACAACCACCCAATAAAGCATTACAATAATCTAACCTTGAGGTCATGAACGCATTAATTAAAGTTTCTGCATTTGACATTGAGAGCATAGGTCTTCACTAATTTAGTTGGAACAAATATGTTAATTTGTGCCATGCCCTGGAGCACATGGCAGGTGCATTTCTAATATCTAATTTGAAAAACTAGAAATTACATATATAAACAATATATATATTTCAATCAGTACAACTCTCCGAAGACTTTAGCATGGTAATGGTTATGACAATGATAATGTATTTGGTCTTGGCGGAATAGATCTGCTACATTGCTGCTGCTGGTTATAGCACTAATAGAGAGATACAACCAGAGGTGTGACCAAGTCGTTGTTTTGCAAGTCACAAGTGAGTCTCGAGTCTTTGCATTCAATTCTCGAATCAAGTCCCGAGTCAAGACAGGCAAGTCCAAGTCGACTTGCAAGTCCTCAACTTTTAGCTTCAAGTCTTAAACAAGTCATTAGTGCTCTTTTCCCAAATTCATGTCTCAGAATTAATTACCATATCAAATGTACAGTAATTTAGATCAGGAAGGCGGGTAGAATATGTTTGACAGTTCAATTTCATGTGAGTTGGGTGCCCTTAGTAAAACTACTCAAGTTCAATTTAGTGATTGTGCCAAAATAGGACAAGCAGTGAAAAAAAAACTTTTAATAGTAACAGAATAGCTAAGACAACAGAATTTCATAGAAATACAGCTGCAACATACTTTGCATGTGTGCATAAGAATATATGCTTCTAGGTGTTATATCTAAGCCAATGAGCCATTATTTGGAACCTCAATGAAACAGATTTAAAAACATGTGAGCGGAAACGCAGAAAGAACAGCTTTGAAAGAACTAGAAGAAAAATTACTACCATACTTTACAAGTGAGCGGAAACATGCTATATGGATGCAGACAAACTCATGAAGACAGTCATTCAAAAATGCTGTGCTATCATCCTTTATAATTAAAAGTAGCAAAGACAAAATCATTTTATAGAAAAAAAATTTGTATGTTAAATGTTAAGTTTATAATATGCATAGTTGATTGCTAAATTTAGGGGCTATGTGCGCTATAGGCCTACAGACTGATTTACAACACGTGAATTCATTTATTTATCCTGAAAGAAATGAAAGTGACATGAGTGCCTGGTGAAGAGGGAGAAAAATTGAGTAGCCTATATTCTACAGACTGATTTACAACACGAGAATTCATTAATTTATCCTGAAAGAAATGAAAGTGAGGAGTGCCTGGTAAAGAGGGAGAAAAATTGAGTATATTTTATAGTTATATATTTAATGCTCATTTTGTGAAAGAAACACTTCTTTAAATTACATTTTAAATTGATCACTAGGCCTTTTGCTGCTTGCCCACTTCAGACATTAGGCCTAATGTGCAGTTTTTTTCAAATGAAATTGTAGCTAAATTGTTTGCAATGATTAATTTTAAATCTAGATTAAATCAAGGTTTATCTAATAATTCTGTTGCACCAAACTTTAAACCTTTAAAAATAAGCAGGTTTACATTTAAACCCATCATTTTGTTCCTGGATATAAGTTATCCTATTTAAGATTAACTTTAATCCTGTTGCACCATAACTTTAAACTCAGATTTAAATCTCAATTATAGATTAACTTTAAACTTGTGTAAGATAAGATTCCTTTTGTAAGGGAATTAATTATTATTATTTTAGCTCAGGTTTTGAAAGGAATCGAATGTGAAGATTCGAAGTCAACCTGATTAGAACTGATTTCAAATTTGATAGTTTACACTTTATCAACTGTTCGTCCAGCGAGACGTTAACGTCCGTGTATCTTAACAATTTGAATATTTGTATTATCCCTGGCCACAGGTTAATACATGCTTGTGATAAGTTATAAGCTACGAGCTAGGTAACGTGATCTAGGCAGAGTTTTAACTTAAAAAATTTACGACACAAGACAATACTTCTTTATAAATGAAACAAGAATTTATTTTGAACTACTTCTATAGATTACATGGATCTAAAACTAATGAAAACACACACATACACACACACACACATACAGTTCTGAAGAATGAGAGTTAACGGAGTTCTGAGGAAATCCCAAAGTTTTAGCAAGATATTCGCTACAGTTCTTCACTTGCAACCTGAGAAAATCACAAAGCAGAGATTTGTCTTATCTTTACTGCTTAAGATCAATTCAGCACCGATTTCGGCAGATAGAAGACTTTGTTTGTTACTTGCAGAGCTGAAAGGGGTTTTCCTCGTTGCCTGAGGGAGTCCCGGAGCTTTGGATTGGTTGCTGAGATGGCGTCTGGATGACGTCCTTTTGGGAGAGCCCTCGGTGGTGATTGGTTGTTTACCGGGTTACGGAGGAGCCTCGAAGTTCTTCTGAGAGAGTCTGATTTTGCAAGACTTTGAGTTCTGCAGCGTTACGAAGCTTCAACAGAGTGGTTAAGTTCTGGATGGCCCGATCGCGTGATGGTGAGCGTGTGAGCACAAGTTATTAACACGGCGAAAAGAAGCGAGCACGGAGTGAAAAAAGCCATCTGGTTTTAAACGAGCCACCTAAGTCCGTCCCACGGATCGTTGTTCCAATCCGAAATGGGCTGCAGGGCCTTAACCACGCCCCATACTGTTCCTTTATCATGTATGAATCACATGCTCCCCGTGGGGAGTATTTCTGCAAATTTTAATATTTCTTATAAAAGTATTATCACCAGAGAAATGATGCCGAATATCATTTTTTCATTCACACCAATGTTCTGCAAATAAAACAAGCTTTCACCCGATAGTAAACACTGGTTATCTGCTAAAAGGAAAAGTTATAAGGCAAAGATTAAAATATCATAGGTTCCAATAACACATCAAACAGAAAGCATATTATTTGGGAGTATAGTTGCCCTTTTATAT